AATTTACTCAGTTTGTGAATTCTTTAATTTTTTTAAAGGTCTTTTAGAACTGAAAGCTCATTCCATGATCTCAACAAAAGGACCACAATATTTTTCACAGTAAATATATATTCACACAACAAAGCTCAGGCTCGACATAAAGTTTCAATCATTTTTTTGCATAGAATGTCAACAAATAAAGATGTGTAATAATTTTGGATGTTTACATGTGAAATTTAATGGATTTTTTAGATACTTGTTGGAAGAATTAATACATTTTTGAAAAGGTTACATTCCTGAAGCACCGTTTTCTTGGCTCATGAAATTTACAGAATTCTTTTAGAACATGTTTCATTAATCACTAGGAGCAGGAGGATGCATGCACTTCAAGTACATATACAGTGCCTTGCAAGAGTATTCACCTCCCTGCAAAGTTTGTACATTTTGTTACCATCTGAGCTTGCAGTCATGAGACTGTCAAATTGGACTTTATATTTAGAGTCTACATAATTTACTCCAATTTGAGAAAGCTAAAAAAATGCTGATATTATGTAAGTAAGTTAGACTTACAAAGAAAATTAGAATATCCTCAATTGCATAAGTATTCAGGTGCAAAGGATTAGCTTGAAAGGTCACAAAGTTAGTGTAATGGTCTCTGTCTGTGTGCAATCAAAGTTTTTTAACTCGACTTCAAACTAAATGCATCTGTTCAACCACAACTCACATTGTGATATGACAAACCAACCATGAAGATCAAGAAGCTTTCCAAACAAGTCAGGGATAAAGTGGTAGAGAAGCACAGATCAGGAGAAGGTTACAATAAAAGTTCAAAGTCACTGATTGTCCTTTTGAGTATGGTGAAGTCCATCATTAAGAAGTGTTATGTGCTTCATACCACCCAGTCACTATTCATATCAGGTCATTCTTCCAAACTAAGCAGTCAGACAAGAAAGAAACTGGTTAGGGATGCTACTGTGAAGCCAACAGTGACTTTGAAAGATTTGCAAAGTTCCATATCTGAGATGGGAGTCAATGTTCATACATCAACAATATCCCAGTTCCTACACAAAGCTGGCCTGTATCAGCGAGCAGCAATTAATTAAATGATACAGTATGTCGAAAGGAGATGCTATTGTTTTTGCTACAGCTCTGTTTTTCAATCACCATGCTAAAGTTTTTGGTTGGGGGCCCTCAAACTTTTTTATTCACATCAGACTAAAAGAATTTGGGAACCACTGTCCTAAAGGAAAACCTGCTTGAGTCAGCGAAGAATCTAAAACTGAATTGAAAATTCACATTTCAGCAGGACAATGACCCGAAGCATGAGGCCAAAGCCACACTAGAGTGGTTTCAAAAGAAGAAAGTGAATGTCCTGGAGTGTCCTTGTCAAAGTCCTGACTTGAATCAAATAGAAAATGTATGGTGAGACTTAAGGATTGCAGTCTATCAATGATCCTCAACAAACTTGTCGGAATTGGAACAATTTTGCCAGGAAGAATGGGCAAAAATTACACCATCCCATTGTGAAAACTGGTAGAGACCTATCCAAAAAGATTCATAGCAGTAATTGCTATTAAACATTCTTCCACCAAGTACTGATTTAGGGGGCTAAATACTTATGTAATCAGCAAATTTCAGTTTATATATTTTTTTTGCAGGTTATGCTGACATTCAACTTCTTTCACATATCACAGTGTTAAGTTTAATCATTAGAGTTTTGAATAAAAACAAGTTCATTAAAAAGAATTGTTTAAATTATTGGTATTTCATCAAAATGTGACATTATTGGTAGGTGATGAATACTTTCGCAAGGAACTGCACATCACGTTTAATCTAGTTGGTCAAGGTTGTTGGATAATAAACATGTATTTCATGATGATTAAATATACTGTACACTAATAAAACTTTAAACAGTGGTATAAAATTACTAGCAGATAATTAATGAAACAGTGTAACTTTAGGATAAAGAAACTGAGGAGAACCAAAATTTTAGAAGCAGGGAAAACCGTCGGCCACCTTCTAGGCCTCGATTCAGAGGTGGTTCTGGTGCTCCTCGTGGTCGACCCCGTAGAGGCCTACCCCGTCCAAGAAGAGATCAAGATGATAGTGCTGACAATACTGCTGGAGGGGAGGAAGTGTCTAGTACTGAATCTGTTACAGAGCCTGACTCTACCAGTAACATTAAAGTGGGAGGAGATGCTGATCAGGAAATTGCTGATGTTAAGGTACTCAAAATACTAAATTTTCTGGTAGAAGAATACTCCACAAATAGTTGTTGATGCAGTTAATTTAATTATTTTTGTATTTCAACCGTGTTTCACTATTAGCAATTTACTTAAAACAAAGACAAATATTTTTCGGCAGAAACATAATCTAAATTTACTTGGGTAATGAAAAACAAGAACTACTAGAGGAAACATTTTGTACAATAATGATGTAATTATTAACATTTTGATCAATGGAATAAATTTTTATTATTTTTACTGTTTTGGCAATTGGCAACAGATGAAAGTATTTATAACTGAATAAAAAATACTATGCCTCTTACTATAATATGATTAATTTTTAGGAGCTAATAAATTTAGTGAAATGTGACAGCTAATTAATCAGAATTTCTCAGTCATTGAAAGAGCAGTTAGCATTAGAAGGTTTAATGGTTCATCAATTTCTGTATCAACTTAATTCTTAAGTACTTCATATTTATTCCATTCTAGTTCATGCCATTATAAACAGGGAATCAAAATTTATTAAGTAATGTTTAATTCTTCATTCCTTTTCAAGCAAATTAAAGGCCATATTAAAAAAAAACTCAATTATCCCAGTATGAGAATTGTGACATTTGCTCTCAAGGTATCCCCTCTTCTCTAATCATTTACCACCCTCGTGAGAAGTACAAAATTTAATATTAATTACTCATACACAGGTAATTCCCCCTATTGAGGCTTGGTTTTAAATGTGGGTGATAATTGCCACTTCTAATTGGACAGTTTTTACTTGCTGTGGTCAAATTGGAGTCTGTGTATGTTGATTACATTATCTTTTATACACTACAGTTGTAGTTAGAGTGCTTCTAAAATCTGCCTATGCACTACTATGTTGTCTATTTTTCTTGGTGTTTTTTATTTACTATTTTTCTGGGGTATGTTCAGTGGTGGGATTCAGCCGGTTCGTGCAAACCTGTTCTTAGAATTTAATGACCTCCACGAACTGGTTGTTAACAATCGTATGTATAGGCCTAATAATAACGTTTCAACTTACAAGTACGTGTGTTTACAACG